CCCCCCCCCCCCCCGAAGGTGGGAGAAGTCTTCGCAATTCATTGAATAGCTACCGCCCGCTTCAGCTAGGCGGCCCCCAGCCAATAAGATACTGTCCTGTCTACGTTCCGCTTGTCTCATTAGGTGCATGAGACTAAGAATCAATCCCGAGCAGCGGACCGACAATGAGAGCGCTAGTGAACAACACTGAAGCGAAACTCACAGACAGGTCTTCAGAAGCTCCCGCGTAGGGTTTGCGCCCCACATCCTTGTGGGTCAGACTTTTAAGTCAAAGCCTCCGGTTATAGTTCCCAAAGAAAACGCCCTCCGTCGGTCTAGCCTACCGCGGAATATGTCGTGCCATAAATTCTCAGACACCCGTTTTGAAAAATCTCGTTCTCATTTGTCTAGTTCTTCTCAATCACAACTCGTACGAGATGCCTTCTGTTTGCGTCAGCCATGGGATATCGGTCAGTGTTTAACCAGTACCGTCAACCACCAAGAGTTATAGAACTGATAAAACCAAAATTCGATTTCGCGTGTGATTCTTCTGAAGTGTTAACCAATTTACGGACTTCCTGAAGACGATAGATTTTGACATCTTCAGCAATTTCTGCATTGCGAGTTATTATGAAACCCATATGTACAAATTCTTTATGACTTCTTCGCCGCAATGAATACATACAAATTTACTCCCATACAGGTACTTGATTTCAGTTCACAAATATTCCTGATAACGTTTAACTTGAACATATACATAGCAGAAAAATGAAACTGTGTTTTAAAACATCTATCTTGCTCAACAAATGCAACAGTTGGTCAGACTGCACTTTTCCCACTGCGGTAATTTCATCCTTGGTATTCTGTTTCAGAATTTTAATTTCGGAGACGCATCAGACGGAAACGTTGCATTTCTGAAACACTTACTCGCCGAGTTATGCACCGGAGATTACCAGACTGTTCTGAACAAATTGATGCAGCTTTCGTGTTACACGCACCTGAACAGAAACTGTCGCATCTTTATGCGGAAACATTTCTCCCAAGACCCAGACAGCCGTGTAAAGGCTTGTATATTACGTTTGGTTACAGATATGCGAGATTCCGAGTCGTTCTAACAGACACGTGCAAATAAATGTATCTAAATTGACCGTATTTCTTTGTTGCTGAAAACTGCTAACAGTAATTTGTGCTCTAGTTGGGGACTCAAGTCCGTAGTACAAGCTGCGTCAACCTGAGAGCTGCAGGCGAGGTAATCGTATAAACGAAGGTTGATTCGCTTTTACTTGGGGTCTAGCCGCGCAACAGTCAGATTAATATGCGTTGTTTGTCATAAATATCAGGAACACGTCAACAAGTAGATAACCGGTATTTAGCTTGTATAAATGCAAAACAACGTCAAGCGAAAATGAGCTTTAACATCTACACCGACATCAAAGCAGTAACATGTCATTCAGTTAGCTTTATATGCGCTGAGAAGCCAACACATTCGCTTTGGTGCTGATTAAGCGACTCGACCCATTGGCAGATGCCTCTAGCCACTGCAATCTGCAGCGCATCATTCCGACTACGAAATACGGACCATAAACTGCATACCATCTTCTGAAACTGAATTTCTGGGATTCGACGTTTCGGGTCCTCGTAGAAATTCAACCCACACGACACTGTAGCTGAAAGATACAAATAAGCGGATTACGGCAAGCCTGACAGAAGACGGGAAAGTTTGTACACTCAGTCGTCTCGACACGTTCGGCACATAGTCGATCTCCAAGGTATGTTCGGTTTTCTAACAGTGACCGGTAATTCAAGAGTAAACGGAAGGATAACTGCCTACCACCAAATTTACACGTAGTATCCACTTGGGAATTACGACTTTCTAAACAACCCACTATGTGAATAGCATGTATATCACCTCGATCGCTGGCGATCATGAGATTTCAGCCCTGCGTTCCGCATTGGTTAATCTCAAGCTCCGAACCTAAGCCGTCAACGAAGTGCGGCCGCCCCGGGAAACAATCTATCTTCGCGTCTGTTGCGAACGAGGCAGTACTTCACATTAACTTGTGTTACGCTCTACTCTTCTCGTTAAGAGTATGTGACAAGTCGAATCTTTGTAGTAGGCTTCGTAAAATGGTATATTATAGTACTAAGATATATAAGATACAGATCACGTGAAATAAGGAAGTTAGCTCAATTCCAGTTATTTTTTCACAAAATTCAAACAAACACTGTTGATACAATACCTGAGACCGGTCGGCTTGGGGCCGTCGTCGAATACATGTCCAAGGTGAGCGTTGCACTGAAACAGACATGGAAAATTGACTTGTGTTCAATGGATCCTAAAATTCCCAGGAGGTATGAAAAAGAAGTTGGCGGGAACTTCGGCCATACTGGGTAAAACAATCTTGAGTGAAAGTGAACCGGAACCTTAAACTCTGGACCAAAATTATTGCGATAAATTTATGCATCACCAAAGGGGTTTCTCAGGACTGTCTTATTTTTTAAGAAGACAGCGGAGTGAATGACTTAAACGGTGATTCAAGCAGTAAGGCAAAGGTTTTCAACGGTGGCACTGCGCATCAACTTTTCTACATTCCTTGCAGCTCGTTTCAATCTCAAAACAGATGGTCTCCTCAAGTCACTTTCATGTGGATTTACTCGTTTACTTCCTCCTGTGGAGCGAGCTATATAGGTCGTATAACCAAAAACTATCGAAGTGAATAAAGGAATACCACCGCTGGTTAGGGCACAGAGAAACGACGGCTTTGAACAGCGCGGTATGCCGACACTTGCTGGGAATGAATCATCAGATGACTGCAAGTTAAGCTTTCAAAATTGTTTATCGAATCCCCTCGCCATCAGCTTACTCAGTATGTTTCTATCCAACTCTGTACGGTCGAAGCAATCGGAATCAGACTGTTTAAACCGCGCTACACAAACAGAAGCGTTTTTCCTATGCATCATTTCGACCCCGGTCGAAGAGGAATGTAAGCATGGGGGGCTCATATGGAATGTTGATACGCGAAGGATCTCTTGGCACATCATGTGATAAGATTTACCTTGTACTGAATCCAACAATACTGAGTGATTTCTCCATATAACTGTAAATGGCTAGTGGATGGGTTACCGAAAAATCGGCTTTTTCACCTATCACACTATTCTATTACGGGTCGTTTTCAAAGATCCTCTAGAATAATGATTGCTTTTACAATATGTTTTGCGAGCGTTTGGTACCTTCAAACTGTAAAACGTTATCGCGGGATGGAATTGAATTCATTATCTAGTAAATTGACCCAGTAAGTGGTTAAGTTTTGCTAAGTGGTTAACTGGGCCTAACCTTAGCGTCAAAGTTCGGATGGATTGTCATCATTTTTCAGTTTGAACAACCATTAACCATGCACTTTCGTGCGTCGGTTTTGGTTGCTGTCTTTTGGCTGCCCACGTGGATGAATAATAGGAGAACAGGAAAGTTGAAGCTTGGGTCGAAGAGAAAATTGAGAACTCCATTGTCATCACGGAAACAGAAGCCCATCTACTGTTTATTAATGGGTCATTTGTAGAACCTATGTACTATTCTCCTATTGTATGCCCAGATTATTCAATAAACCTTGTTCCGTAGTTAATCACCAGTCCGGATCCAGACAGTGTTAACCAATACAAAGTACAAGAACCTTAATGAAGAATAAATCAAGATTGATTCATGAGCACAAGCCGTCAGGTTGCCCAAACCAAAGCAAATCCGGATCCTGTTCCGCTGGGTACTGGGGCGGCGCGTGAAAGTCCCAGTTTATTTGGGGACTTATATACAGCCAATCGAATCGTGGTTTGATGCATAAGGAATATCATGGCCTGGAAGTCACGGAACTACTTTCCACGACTCTTCTTGTGAAGCCTACAATCAGGGTGCGCAAGCTCCCTTAGAACAGCTGAACATGAATCGAAATAAAAAATACAGTTATGGGCAACGGCTACGCAAAACCCACTGACTTTCAAGTACCTTGTTTTTATATCACTGGTGGAGTACATAAAAAACAATTAGATTGGTGGTGATTAGATCAGACTTCTGGAGTAAAATAGCCCCGATTCTCCACTGAAGAGGGTATTTGTTGGTTTGGACAAGTAGTACGCATTCTTCTCAGTGAACTTCATCGGAACTTCACTTTCGTTAAGGCATGTAGCGGCCCAAGGAATGACAAGGGTGGCTAGTCCACTCCCTCCATTCGAGGAATAAGAATGTCTATAATGATAATGAGTTGTTGTATGAGAGCAATGGAGAATTTGGTTTCTTTGTATCATGAATTCGTCTTTAAATGAAGCGTGACCTGAAAAGCTGGGGAACACTGGACGGCTGTTTCGATCTGGTTGGGTCTCATCAACATTCCGAATCCATCGACCCAACTGCAGATCGAACCCGGGACCTCACAGGTAGAACAAAAGTATACTGCCCACTCGGCCACCGGACCGCTGATCAGACCGTTTCTCATGTTGAATATACACGATATGATAGGCGGCTCTGCCGATGCCCGGCTCGCTACCACGCCTGATCTGCTGAAGCCTTATCTGGTTCGCCACTCCAAGTTTCAGGATCACGTTTGCGGGTTGCTCACAACATAAACAATCACCTACTCTCACTCGATCTATGCATTCAGACTGCAAACAAGCACTCATAACTCATTTAATCTAACCACACCACAAAACCGATCACACACTAATCTTCCATTTACTATGACGTCATCATTAACTCTTCAATCATTCACAACTTCCATGATCTCACCTATTACCCCACACACACACTCCATGGTTCCTACCCTTAGATCAATCACGGGCATAAACATATACATATATATATATATATAAACTGGTTGACAAATTAATGAAAAGTCAACCATGGATCATCAGATGAAAGTGCAATTTTAAGCAGCTTATCATCATCCGCTATCCGCGCTTCCCATCATTCAGTGAGACACATGTAAACCATTGATCTGGTATTGAATTTCGCTCCCTATTTCTTACGGTTTGGCTCCGGCTTCTTTCAGCTCATGGACCCATTGCTTTATCATTGATTTCCTCAATCCATCTTCTGTCCCAACACTTGGTCGTCATTTCTGTCTTTACAGATTATCTGTTTGGTGTTCTTTCCGCAGTTTCCCGGTATCCCATTCCTGGCACTGTTGTGTTTTTCTCGCCATTCGTCCACTTCACTCGTGGACGTTTCATGACAAGTGATTACCCACTGAAAAACAAAGTAAGAAGGAAGCTTTCCTTCACGGGTAATCGTCGTCTACTATTCACTGTCCCTATTTGCCAACCCAGAACAAACTCTCCACAGCCATTTAGAAAATCAAAAATAAATGTTTTCATCCTCGGTCATCTATTCTTCAAATCACCACGGTGATTCTTGTCGTTCGCCCTTTCCTTCATTTTAAAACACCTCTATCGATATGTTCTCTGATCCCTCTCGAAAAGTCAAGGTATTTGCTTTTGAGTATACCGTACCTCCATTCATCACCATGACTCCACATTGTCCCAAAGTTATCTCCATCTAGCTCAGCATGGCATGGAAGTAGTGGTTTGTTGTTTTTGAAACTGAATTCGCCGGATACAACCAAACTAACAGATTCATATATGATAGCACCAATTGTGTCCATGATTTGTGCGACCGAGCTTACAACCTAGTATGAGAGTTCGGAAATCCTGACCAGGATACTTGTACATGTACTTCCCGTTAGTGTTCCCGGGTGGGGCTTTCGGGACTAATGCCACCAATGGCTTGAGACAGCGATATAATCGAATCTCATAAGTAGTGACGTTCATGTATCTTCTCAACCTCGGTGTACCTAAATTCTGCCTTTGTATGAACACTGCTTCAAATATTTCAGTCTTTCCGCTACTCTTTCATCGAAATGAGCAGTCATCAGTGAGCAACCAAAACCGTCACACGAAAGTGAATGGTTAATGATAGCTTAAACTGGTCATTTAAGCCACCCAGGCCATCCGGCTAATCGATGATTCTTCCCTTACATCTAGTCTACATTAACTAGCTCATCGTCGGGCAGCTGCTTCATTGTCCCTGTTCTAGCGCCACTACTTCGGTTTTTGTTCTTCGGAACTTATCTCGGCCGTTCCTCTACCTGCAACTTTTACCCGCCCATCCCGTACCCAGGCATCTAGTCATCCTTATCAGGTTTCTGTTCCCAGATTTTGTACCTCTCTACTCCAATCTTCTTTTTTCCCCGAACTGCCAAACTTGTTGTTTTTCCCCCAATTTGCAATCTTGCACTTTTTAAACGCAGAATCAATAAACTGGCCCTTCCGTGAATGTTCCCATACTCTCCCCTTTACAGTATGCTATTTGTCCATGGGGATTTCCCCGTTTACTGTAATTCACATTGTGTAATGAAAAACCCCATTTATGCGACCTTGTTGTGAGTATCACCCCTTGCTAATATCAGCACTAACTTCCAGAGTAATGACTCGGTTAGCAACATTCACAACCTGACTCAGTTCAGTTTTTACAACCATTAACCGCGCACTTTCGTGTGTCGGTTTTGGTTGCCCATTGGCATAAATCAGCAGAATGAAGATTAGAATGTTGAGAGCAAATTCAAGCGGAAGATAGAGAATTTATATAGACTGATGTTACAAGAATAATGAGTATATGCACGAGCGCCACTGTTTGCGACACCCAGCCATATCGCTCAGTGTCTCCAACTGTCGGTGACCATGATCTCGGGGTCTCCAGCCTATGTGACCCAGTCTCCTGGTTGGGGATTTCCTACCTTCACGCCAAGTTCTCGTTTGATCGCCCTTGACTTTTTACAATCGCTACCTGCCTCGTCAAACATCGCTCGCCATGGCAACTTATCCGGTGACATGCGTAACACATGCTCCAAACAATGTAATCTATGGAGGTCAACTACTTGCTCTAGTGAAGGACCACGATTACCTAAGAATCTACATCTAACCTCGGCATTGTTAGCCCGGTTACCCCACCAGACTCGTGTAATTTGACGTTGACAGCGGTGTTTGAACACCGACAATCTATTTTACCCTGTTACTGTAGTGGCCAAGTTCCTGAACCGTATAGCAGAACTGGCCGAACTGCTGCAGCATATACTCGACCTTTCGCAGACAGGACAACCTGAATATTTATTGTATGAGAGTAATGGAGGATTTGACTTATTTATATGACGAATTTGTTGCGAAACTGACTCAAACAGAACACACGGTGTGTACAAATTGAACGGGAAAATTCGGGCAAAGTAGGAACATCCGAACTTTACTTGCTAGCATAAATTAACATTTACTGTTTCAGTTTCGGAACATCGACGCTAATTGGATGTAGACGAGGAAAATTGGCGTTTACGACGAATACACAACACAGTTGAGACAATAACGTACTGAGAAGAGGCTTGAGACTCGAGAAATTAGGTCATCTACCTGCTGTGAAACGATCGTGATTCTAGCAAGCGTTAAAAAATGTAGAGAACATAAAAACACCGTATGAGCCACTTATCCACCTACCAGTGTACCTTTGTAAATTGTACACTGATAACGAAAATGGTTTCGGCTTCCACCGAAAACTACTGAATAAAAGTTAGTGAGAACATGGCTGGTCCACTCTGTGTGCTTACCTGTTTGCAACGAATTTCAATTCGTTTCATTCCCAATGAATCGTCGTCTAGACGAATAATGTTTGAAGTGGAATCGTCAGTTCCATTGGCGCCTGACGCTTGAAAAAATGAGGGCCAACCACATCCACTTTCGAATTTAGCACTTGATCTGGATGATAAGAATAAGGGATGAATCGCATTTAGAGAGCGAGCGACATATATCTGTTAGATAAATAGGGTGTCTGAAAATCGAACTGAAACGGAGTGCATAGATGGTCGTTCATTCGTTTGGCATTTAGAAACCTTGTAAAAAGTTTACCATTCTGATTTGTGAAAGGTGTGTTCATTATATCGAATTGAGGGACCAATTACCTGTTGAAAGCAGTATGTGGTTGTCGTGTTATTGATACAATGCATCAGCAGTACTTATCTCCAGCAAAGAAATAGACTATTGAGGTAAACCGTTGTCGAAAAGTAGAATAAATAGATTGACAGGACCTTCTGAGACTGTACTAAAATTATCCCGCCAACACTAAGATTAACCAGTCTCAAAGGAAGCTTCATTTCCAAATGTTGGAACAAAAAGAAATCCATACTTGTAAAGTATAGCCAGGATCTTGCCAGCCAAAGATCTCCGAGATTCACCCAAGTGATCAACAGCGCAGGACCAAATGAGTGAATTTTATGCTAACAGGTCACCGGTGGATCGGTGACTGTGGAAAATATGTTGACAGTTATTTAGAAGCTAGCGGAGATTGAAGTAAAAAAGAAGATGCTTTTCACTTGATAGTTCCATAGCGTTAGAGGGAGACAAAATGAGAAGAAAAAAGGGAGTAAATGTTCAGGACAAAGCAGAGACCAGAGGATGGGGAGAAAGTGAACAGTTTTCCAACATAAGAAATACACCGTGAGGAAGACATTTGAAAACAAAACAGG